TCATTCCTTAACTAAGACTCATCACAGGTGATTATGGACAATAAAATGTCTTGATTTTGTCCATCAAGAATTACATTTTGTTGGAAGACTTCCAAACGCTTTCTTTTCTGCTCATCGCTCATATGAGGAGCTGATCTTGCACACACTCAACTCATGCCTAAGTCCACAGTAACGAAGTAGTAAACCCTTTCCAGTGACACATTTAAATTAACAGACAATTCCCTTATCAAGAATCTCCTGTCTTCCTTCAGCAATTGTTCTGCTTTATAAGTATTCATGCCTGTGAGAGTCATGCTTGTCTCCAACTTCAAGCATTACCAACCACCCTTTTATTTTCATCTTTAAAATGTTTCTACCATCAGCTGCAGCTCAATTCTTTGCTTCTGTTCCATATGCATTCTGTAGCATCTCTAATGTCTCTTCACCACTTTTCCCAAGCTTCACACAAAATTCTATGACACATATCTGCCTTACAACATACAAAATATTGTACTGCTCTGCCATTGCTGAGGTTCCTTACAAGAGCTCATACAAAAAAAACATATGCTATGGAATGCCAACAACCTTTGCAATAGTAGCTAAAACACTTGGCCAAGGCCAGTGAAAATAAGCAGTACTGTCTATCTCAATACTTCTCAAATTCCTCTCATATGAACCAAATGAAGAAAGAAGTTTTGGAAAACTTCTGAAAAAAAAATCTGTTTTGTACAAGTAATATTCACAACAGGACGCAACAAGCCTAGAATTGTAAAGGGTGATGACGATGACGGCGGCGGTGATGATGGTTATGATGATGTTATATGAACATAAATTACATATCTTGTTAATATAATCTGTATTTCCAGTGGTGCATCCATAAGCTGATTACACAGGTAAATATCATGTTATTATCTACTGTAGCTAAAAATAGTAATAAAATAGTGTGACATGTCTAACCATTGCTGGGCAACGGGAGGTAGGACAAGTTACCAGGAAGACAGACCCTTCATACACGGTCAGTTGCCAGGTTGTGCAACAGTAAGGAAAACGGTGTTTCTCCATGCCGTGCCAAGCAGAGCCAAAATGAGCTGAGCCGAACTGAGCTGAAGCACGCTGGTTGCTATGCAGCAATAAACAACTCTTGGCAGCATTGCCCAGCAAAACCTGTAGGCACGGCAATTACGCAACAGGGAAGCAAGGCGCATTTTCCCGTCTGACTGAGGGTTTATAAGAGTTACTAGAGAGAGAGTAACCAGTCAGTTTCAATCTAGCAGTCACCGAGTCAGGTTGTATCGAGTGCATGGCAGTGACTACAGGAGAAGTATCTGCAATACTGCCTCCATATGACATCCCACACTGCCAATGGCAGTAGTTGGGAAATTGTGACTTGTGTAATTGTGACAGTGAGTGTTCAATAAATTTGCTACATCCAAGATGGCGTAAAGTTATTTGTCGCGTTATACACCCAACATGTGATAATATTAATCCATTAAAATATATTAAAATACAGTACAGTCAACTCTCGATTATCCGGGGGCGGATTAACCGGTTTGCGGCTTAACCGGGGCTTTTTTTTTTAAGTTTATATGTTGTTTAATATTCATTCACTTTTGTTTCACATGGTGAGTTTAACACTATTTTCGCACTAGTGTGAACCGAGCTCTGCATTATTTCGTCCCGTTATGCGAACACAATGTTCTAGGGTGGGGGTGAAAGAATGNAGTATTATGAAGGTATTAAAAGGTAAAAGGTAAAGTTGTTCCTCTGCTCAACGAATTAAGCCCTACGCCATTAAGGCGTGTGGGGGAGTGGATGTATAGATCCAAATTTTCTTGACCTCGGCACTAGTTGGAGGTGAGTGGTCAGCTTCACGCCCCGGCCGCTTTACCCCCGGGGAAAGAGCCCCCGGTACCCATTGGATAGGAGGTTGGATGGACCCCAGAGCCGGTCTGGACGATTTGGAGAAGTTAAAATTCTTGACCCTACCGGGACTCGAACTCCGACCCTTCACAGTCGTCCAGCCCGTATAATAAAATTTGGCTTAACCGGGTTTTCGATTAACCGTGACTTCCATCCCCACCATTAGCCCGGATAATCGAGAGTTGACTGTATATGTATTAGTAATGTATTATAGTGACATATTAAGTCTTGGTTAAGTGTAATCATTGCAGACAAATCACACACTCAATCATAATTAAAGTTCACAGCATGCATCACTGTGCTGTTTCGACTTATATTTTATTATCAATGATAACATTCTGCAATAAATATTAGCTAAGTTATATTGAATGTTCTTAATTTTAATATTAGTAGCGAAATAATGTCACATTATAGAAAGAAGAATATTTCTGCTACTTAAGCAGCAGTTTTGTGTTTTACTATATAAGTGCCTGATGGTGAATGTACTTCAGTGACTTAATAGTGTGGGACATGATATATTTCTAACCAAATTATTTTGTGGTTCTATCTGTAATACTTTTTGGTCTCATATAATGTCAGCAACACGTGCTGTTTAAGCCTATATTTCCTTTACTATTTCTCTATATGTAATATTTTTCCTAATGCAATGAAACTTCGATTCTGTGCTATGGAATGTTATGGTTTTTCCTGATTTTATGTAGTTTTTGTTAGGTCCCAGCCAAATATTCCAACATGAAAATGCTAAATTTTAACCCATTTTACATTTAATCAAACTTACATCCCCCCCCCCATTTGGACTTCATTTTTTGATCTGTGCAAACAGAGGTTTACCCAATGTGACATCTGAAATGTTCTATTCTGAAAAGTTCACAGAAACACCAGTGCCATTCCACTCATGTTCAAGGTCTGTCCTACTGAATGCGCAAACCTTTGCATATGAGTGCTGTAGAGACTGAGAGGTCAAGAAAAGAAGAAACACATGACCCTACACAACTGGTTAAAAGAAATAACATGGCATGTAAGTTAATTTATCTGCATTTATATTGCTGTTGTGTTCAAACATACATATATTGTTAAAAGGCTTGCCAAAGTCATGGAATAAAGCAACCCACATTTTTCTTTCTGGTCCATTGTTCTCACTTCCTTGCTCTTACACTTTTCTTGATTTTATGTTTATTTTACACAGTCCCTTCAAATTGTAAAATCAAGTCTTCACTGTGTACCTAAGCATTATTATATTATTATTATTTAATTACATTCCATTAATCCATACAAGGTCAAAGACCTATAGGACATAGAAACCGTCGTTATAGATATAAAACAATAACTATATCAGTAAATCTAATATACATGTCATAAATCTTACATTACCCATCTGAAACAATTTTACACAGAAGTAATACAGATATGGTAATAAAAGTAAATTACAGTTATTAACTAAATAATGTGCAGGTGTTCATTGGGAAGTTGTATTGTAAAATTCATCACTGCTATAAAATGCATGTTCAGTGATATCGCTTCTCAATAAAGATTTGAACTGCTTAATGTCTTTAGATAACAATTTAATATTCAAAGGTAAGTGATTATAACTCTTGCTTCCAGAGAACAGCACTCCTTTTTTGTACTATTGATGAATTTGTAGAGGGTAAGTATAAATTATAATTATAGCAGGTATTAATATTATGAATATCTGTGTTAGATGTAATGTAATTTTTATTCTTAATAACGAAAAGAAGCAAGGAAAAAATATATTGAGACTGGAGTGGTAATATTTGTAATTTTTTTAATAAATCCCAACATGAATCAAATTTGCCTGAACCAGACATAACTCTTATGACTCTTTTTTTTAATTTTAAAGATAGTCATACTAAGGGGGGCATGCCCCATACTTCAGTATCAAATGTACATAAGAGTAGTAAATCATCTTTATTGAATCTAATGACATAAAGGGCTTTATTGCCCTTACTGCAAAGCAGGCCTTATTTAATCTTAATGATAACACAGTAATATGAGTCTTCCAAGACAGGGTGCTATCAATATTTATTCCCAAAAATTTGGTGCAACTGATGTCAGTAATTAATGAGCTGGTTGATGTAATTTGAATTTCTATTTCTCTATACTTTTTTAAAAAGAATATCCCTCCTTTTGATAGAACTGAGAAAACATACAAGAGTACACCAGAACACAAGTTTAAGTTAAAAACTTGTAACATTCTAGACATGACTGATGCACAAAGAGCCTCAGAGAAGACAACAGTATAATGTTTCAACATGCATAACGTCATATTTGTATGCCTGATATGTAACTGCTAGTCTAGGCATTACAAACATATGCCAAATGTGAATGATGCTAATATAGAATATAATGCACTGAAATAGCTACCCTTCAGACCCTATGTCTAAGTAGTGATAACTATTAGAGTGATCCGAAGATGTTACAGGTGTTTATTAAATTTTGTGAGATGTAATTACATGGATGATACAAAAATATTAAACAGTACTATGCCAGTCTATTGATATGATACTGAATAAAACACTGAAAGGTCTGACCATCTAGAAAAGAAGTTTTCTATAAACTGGAGAAGTTACGAACAGTGTCCTACAAACCTAAATAAACTATTACATGAAAAGCTTTCAGTGATTAAGGAATTAGTAACATCCTGGGAAAATTCTGCAGATGTAAGTTCAGATAGGAAACAGTGTGAAAGAAGTTTGACCAAGAAAGAAACTGAACCAATCAATATCAGGGATGCCAGACCATCCTAACCCCCCACCACCTGTAAAAGGTCACTGCTGGCAGTGCTACCCAAGCAATTACCAGGTCATGAATGGTGCGAGGATAACATCCAGATGTCTTTACATGCAGACATGGCAAATGTGCCCTTGTTCACCTGTCAGTAATAAGTTTGTGAGTAACAGAGTGGATTTGCTTCCAATAACATGCTGTTCAAACCAAGGTTTGTGAAAAATCAGGCAATTGGCATATAATACAAATGTGTGAACCTTAAACAGACAGCCACATGCAACATGCCAACTGACAGCCACAGAAACAACATTACAAACAGTAAGCCTTCCTCAACCAGGGATAGTAACTGTACTTACAGCAGACTAGAATTATGAAGCATCTGAACAATATCCCCCACTACAGCCAGCTTATCTGCAGGAATTTTCAACCAATAATTAAAAGCATGGGCCAACTTTGCTCGAATCTGCTTCCCAGGAACTTGTAGAATGTATGTGAAAGGCTGTAGCAGTTTCTGAAATAACATATCACAAAATTTTACAATAAATCTTCTGATAAATGTCGCTGTAATACACTTATTGGTGCTAGCCTCAAACCTTAAGACCCACCAGTACCTAATGACAGTCATCCTCTCACTGCACTCCATTCATTCTAATCACAATGATTCAACTCAAGCGTAACATAACAGGAGATGCTAACTTAAAACCTGGCTAAAGGGGCCCATACACGTATGAGTCTGGTTCGCTAGTCCGGCTCGGCGAGCTTGACTCAGGAGCCGGGCTTGGATTAATTTCACCACACACACATGAGCTGACTCCCAACTTTGCTCATACATTTCAGTATCCAGAATGAGTTCATCGAAGCAAGCTGCAGCAGCTGTGATAATACCAGATGAATGCAGTGTGACTGGGAGAAAGAGGAATATAAAGAGGAGGCAAATGTGGGCTAAGAACTGGTTGTTAAGTAGAGACAAATTTACACATTTAAATTTATTGAACTTTATTAGAAATGATAGACTTGAAGACTACAAAAACTACTTCAGAATGTCAGACGAAAACTTCAGGTATTTGCTAGCAAAAGTAAGGCCGTTCATAGTGAAACAAGATACTGCGATGTGGAATGCTATTACAACTGAAGCACTTTCTTCTTAACAAAATTCAAGTCAGCATCACAGATTTTCTCTCTTGTAAACTGCATGAGTAAATCCCAGGCCTCATCCCGCTTTCCCCCGTTCGAATACTCTGTGCTGCGAACCTGCCACAGAACCAGCAATTCACGGTACTCTTCTAAAAAACGTGTCAAAAACTCTGGGGTCATGAATATTTTGTTACACATGGAAGCCGACATGGTTCCTCTGTAGTACCACAACTCATCAATTTATTAATTAATTAATTCATTCATTAATTTACTAAGCTACAAAGTACAAAGTCAGTATTATCATAAGAATCCCAACCATTCAGCATGAGTTTTGTGTTCAAATCAAACCCATAAGCATAATTATACTTGAACTTTCCTGCTGCTGGACCAACATTTTGCCTTCCTTTTGTCTTACTTATCAAAAATAACACATCAAACCTAATTTTCAAAAATTAATTTATATTTAAAACAAGTGGAACCTCTAGTTATAAAAAATATTAAACCTCAAATTCCTCATTCATGTCCCTCCCAATTGCAGGATCATAAAAGGAGCCCTAGGTGAGGGCTGAGGTTGTGACAAATTTGCTGACTGGTCAAACCTGGCAAACACCTCCCACAGTAATAAGACAGATAAGGTGCATTTGTGGAGTGAATGAAAGTGGGTACAGTGCCACATTAGCATCAAAATTTATGTGTCTGTATACAAAATAGAGCTTCTGTTACATGCAGAGTAACATTAATTATGCCAAATCTGATCAGTTAGTACATCTGTCACTGCCTCAGCCCTCATCTCAGGCTCCTTCTCTGACCTGTGTCATCTGTAATATGGTCTAACACTTCCTACAAGCTCAATACAATCTAAAATAAATATTATGTTAAAAAGGGTAATAATGTTCGCTGTATAGGGCTAGTAAGCTATTAAAAGAACTACAAACACAAAGGGGCGCAAACTGCAGATAAAACATAATTAATTATAATTGTTGCACTCTATACCATGTAGAAATGCCTTGACACTACACAGATACTATGATCATCTAGAATGCTATACACAACACACAAAAAAGATAGAATATTTGGCATTATTCATCATAAAGTGGGCATTCCTGCAGGGCATGTAGAATGGTGGTGGGGGGGGGG